GGAAATCAACTCATTAACGTCTTGGCGCAAAGTTGAGAAGTATGTGCGATGTCTTTCGTTTTACTCAGCTAATTTTGTGGTCTCAATTCATGGTGTAAGACTTCTATGGAATTGAAAGACTAATACAATGATACCTCAACTGATCTGTAGATAAATCCCTCTCGATTTTTAAGATCTCCAGGATGAATAATATGATCTGAGTCACTTAGTTCACATCTATTCCCTCCGTCATCTTCAGCTCCAAAGTTGATCGACACACAGTCGTGTTCAAGATAGCACCTCAATTCACAAGTGTCCATCGAGTTTATGACGAGCGAAATGATCGTGTGATTCAACAGAGATCTCCCAACCATTTGGGGCCCAAACTCTAGAGTGCGACAATCGTCTACAAAAAGAAGTTGCAGAGTAAAAGAGTTTAATCAACCAGATCTTCAATTTAGAATAATCAGTTCATATTACAAGGTGCCAACTTGAAAACGATTTTAACCTGTCTAAAGTACAGAACAGACTAGTGACTGAATGACGAGTGTTTTCAAAAGGCTTGGACATGAGCGGCTGAGATCGTGGCCGGCTTTTCCTAGGCTAAATAGGGACCAGTCATTATCACCAGCGGGGAGGGGGGGAAGGATTTTGGTTTTGTCACGATAATATGTACCTGACCCCCTCATAAGGCTCTAAAATATTCTTATGCTTCCCCTCCCCCCCCTTTTCCCCCCGCATTAGCAATTAATTGGCAGTCAATTGTGCATAGTCCCCTCTTTATATCCTGTTGACGACGATTAATCCCCAATCCGTTCTTCCTGAAAACTAAGTGATACCCTAGGCGATGACTGATGACTCCCTTAAAGAACCTTTTTTTTTAAAAAGCAATAACATTATTACCCCAGATTTTCTTTGTCACCTGAATAAACCAAATGCTTGGAAAGTGTCAAAGAAAAATAGTTGGAAAAAGATTGAGAACGGGGTAGAAGTTTGTTCTTGCGTGCTATCGATTGTTTCAAATGGAGTCGCGAGTGTTTTTGCACCAGTCTTGGAAAACGATGGAAAGGTATGCNTCTGATTTTCGCTATTGCTTAAATAGCGCTATCTACTGCGAGGATCGTGCATCATACGTATCTAATACCGCAGTTCAAAATATATGAACTTCATATATTTCATTGTATCTGATTTATCACTTTCACGGGTTTATTACGAATCAACTTAACGGCCTGCTCCCAGTTGGCTTGTTAGCTCAATTGGTAGAGCGCTGCACTAGTATCGCAGAGGTCAGTGGTTCGAATCCCGTACAGGCCTGATTTTTTTCAGGTCTGATTTTCGCTATTGCTTAAATAGCGCTATCTACTGCGAGGATCGTGCATCATACGTATCTAATACCGCAGTTCAAAATATATGAACTTCATATATTTCATTGTATCTGATTTATCACTTTCACGGGTTTATTACGAATCAACTTAACGGCCTGCTCCCAGTTGGCTTGTTAGCTCAATTGGTAGAGCGCTGCACTAGTATCGCAGAGGTCAGTGGTTCGAATCCCGTACAGGCCTGATTTTTTTCAGGTCTGATTTTCGCTATTGCTTAAATAGCGCTATCTACTGCGAGGATCGTGCATCATACGTATCTAATACCGCAGTTCAAAATATATGAACTTCATATATTTCATTGTATCTGATTTATCACTTTCACGGGTTTATTACGAATCAACTTAACGGCCTGCTCCCAGTTGGCTTGTTAGCTCAATTGGTAGAGCGCTGCACTAGTATCGCAGAGGTCAGTGGTTCGAATCCCGTACAGGCCTGATTTTTTTCAGGTCTGATTTTCGCTATTGCTTAAATAGCGCTATCTACTGCGAGGATCGTGCATCATACGTATCTAATACCGCAGTTCAAAATATATGAACTTCATATATTTCATTGTATCTGATTTATCACTTTCACGGGTTTATTACGAATCAACTTAACGGCCTGCTCCCAGTTGGCTTGTTAGCTCAATTGGTAGAGCGCTGCACTAGTATCGCAGAGGTCAGTGGTTCGAATCCCGTACAGGCCTGATTTTTTTCAGGTCTGATTTTCGCTATTGCTTAAATAGCGCTATCTACTGCGAGGATCGTGCATCATACGTATCTAATACCGCAGTTCAAAATATATGAACTTCATATATTTCATTGTATCTGATTTATCACTTTCACGGGTTTATTACGAATCAACTTAACGGCCTGCTCCCAGTTGGCTTGTTAGCTCAATTGGTAGAGCGCTGCACTAGTATCGCAGAGGTCAGTGGTTCGAATCCCGTACAGGCCTGATTTTTTTCAGGTCTGATTTTCGCTATTGCTTAAATAGCGCTATCTACTGCGAGGATCGTGCATCATACGTATCTAATACCGCAGTTCAAAATATATGAACTTCATATATTTCATTGTATCTGATTTATCACTTTCACGGGTTTATTACGAATCAACTTAACGGCCTGCTCCCAGTTGGCTTGTTAGCTCAATTGGTAGAGCGCTGCACTAGTATCGCAGAGGTCAGTGGTTCGAATCCCGTACAGGCCTGATTTTTTTCAGGTCTGATTTTCGCTATTGCTTAAATAGCGCTATATACTGCGAGGATCGTGCATCATACGTATCTAATACCGCAGTTCAAAATATATGAACTTCATATATTTCATTGTATCTGATTTATCACTTTCACGGGTTTATTACGAATCAACTTAACGGCCTGCTCCCAGTTGGCTTGTTAGCTCAATTGGTAGAGCGCTGCACTAGTATCGCAGAGGTCAGTGGTTCGAATCCCGTACAGGCCTGATTTTTTTCAGGTCTGATTTTCGCTATTGCTTAAATAGCGCTATCTACTGCGAGGATCGTGCATCATACGTATCTAATACCGCAGTTCAAAATATATGAACTTCATATATTTCATTGTATCTGATTTATCACTTTCACGGGTTTATTACGAATCAACTTAACGGCCTGCTCCCAGTTGGCTTGTTAGCTCAATTGGTAGAGCGCTGCACTAGTATCGCAGAGGTCAGTGGTTCGAATCCCGTACAGGCCTGATTTTTTTCAGGTCTGATTTTCGCTATTGCTTAAATAGCGCTATATACTGCGAGGATCGTGCATCATACGTATCTAATACCGCAGTTCAAAATATATGAACCTCGTATATTTCATTGTATCTTAAACTTAGTCCTTACTAAATACTGGGTAAATGCTGATCTGAACAATAACTCCACATGGCCAGGGAGGTACATCTTTGCTCACTCGGCGCTTTCTTGTGTAGCGGTGAGGCGATTCGACCGTTGAAATTGTAACTTAAGCGTGAGCCAAACATTGATTTCTACTCAACCTGACTTTTTTTAAGAATCATGATGCTGATTTTCACGTGACATCATCAAATTTCAAAATCCAAAAATGTATCCTCATCAGGCAGTGGGGGGTCTAAATTCGTGTCTGTCTTCATATTTTCAGCTCAATAGCATGCTTGGTTTGGAAAGTAGCGCAGTTTGAAGTTCAGAGTTATGGTGGTTGCGTGTCATAAAGCTCCGATCGCTTTTGTCGAAAAATATAGACCTATCTGATGATTTTGGTTACTTTGGAGAATTTTGAATTCGGATCAACTAATAATTCCTTAGTTGATATTTTTCTTTATCCCCATCACTTTCCTGCTTGATTTTGTATTGATATTGTTAGGGGAAATCAGTTCTGTCTCGGTCAGAGTTAATTAAGACAATCACTGAGTCATTGAGCAGGGCGAAGTATTATCATCGATCGAGTCCGAGACTCTTCAAGCGTGTACGTGACAGAATGTGGCACAATTTCTCCTTACAATATCAATACGAAATCAAGCAGACAAGTAAAGAGAATAAAGTAAACATTTCAATTCGGGGATTATTAGTTGATCTGATACCAAATTTGGTCAAAACTATCGAGTAAGAACTGGGACATAACTTCCTTATCAACATTTAAAGCAAATATTATGAGGGAGAATCTTGCTACATTTATTACTGACGGCGGCTACATAAACTGTTGCATTTGTAATTCTTAACTAACGGGAGCTTAATTGTTATTTTATTGTAATTGTCAAGTAGCAATTTAATTTTAGTCATAAGTAAAGGCAGTTTAACTTATTATAAAAATTTCATTGTAACCTAGATATTTATACACCCGCTATATATTTATACACCTGGCCCCGGTTGTTCAAAGGATGGATAACGCCATACACTGGATAAATCTCTATCCGGTGGACAGCGCAGTACGTTTTGGTAACACTTATCCGCTGGATAGCGATTTATCCGTTGGATAGCATTATCCACCCTTTGAACAACTGGAGCCTGTATTAAATATCTAAATAAAGTTACTGACTGACTGAGTGAAATTCTCCGAGCTAACAACATAAGAATTGTATGGCAGATAGTTGGGAGAATCATCAATGATATCTTGGAAGCAGAAGAGTTAAACATGTATTCGCACTACGCATATTTCAGTTGTATCACTACCAACAGATTTTTCCTCAGCAGAATTTAGATGCTGATATAACAATAATAATAATATTTATAATTAACAATTATTGGCCGAAAGCGAGGTGAATATCGTCGAATAATCCCGAGACGAAGTCGAAGGGATTATTCGACAATATTCACCGAACCTCAGAGGCGAATAATTGTTTTAGAATAATTTCAGAGCTGAACAACAGAGAAATTTCTAAAATCATAACATTTTAGTAACATTTATTAACATTTTATTTTAACATTTTATATAAACCGCTTGGAGCGGTTTATATAGCGTCATATAAGGAACCGCTCTACCAATCAGATTGCTGGAAACTCTTTGCTCAGCTCTTAAATTATACTAAAATAATTTATTACACCGCTCACAACGCTCGTGAGCAAGATGAAGTGAATACTGTGTTCTACCTGAGCCCATGTTAACGTTGCCCGCTCGGGATTGCCCGCATTGATCCCGCGCATGAAATAAAATAGAATTAGAACTACGTTTGTAATTCTTAGACAATTTCGGCGATGGAAACGCAAAAAGCGGCAGAAGATAGTCAAAACAAAGAAAACAGAAACGATACTCTTGAGTTTGTTGTGCTTGACACAGTTGGCTTTCTTTCCCAGCTCTCGAAATAAACAANTTTTTTAAAGCTGTTGTAAGACATATATTTAAGATAAGTGGGTACGGTTTCCCATATCTTTGAAGCAGAGAACATAAAAGATGATTTTCCCATGTTAGGGGATACTCTTGGTCTAAAAATATTTGGGAAACAAAGCCAACTGTGCTTGTAGCACAACAAACTCACGAGTGTCGTTTCTGTTTTCTTTGTTTTGACTATCTTCTGCCGCTTTTTGCGTTTCCATCGCCGAAATTGTCTAAGAATTACAAACGTAGTTCTAATTCTATTTTATTTCATGCGCGGGATCAATGCGGGCAATCCCGAGCGGGCAACGTTAACATGGGCTCAGGTAGAACACAGTATTCACTTCATCTTGCTCACGAGCGTTGTGAGCGGTGTAATAAATTATTTTAGTATAATTTAAGAGCTGAGCAAAGAGTTTCCAGCAATCTGATTGGTAGAGCGGTTCCTTATATGACGCTATATAAACCGCTCCAAGCGGTTTATATAAAATGTTAAAATAAAATGTTAATAAATGTTACTAAAATGTTATGATTTTAGAAATTTCGCTGTTGTTCAGCTCTGAGGTTATACTAAAACAATTATTCTCCTCAGGTTCGGTGAATATTGTCGAATGATCCCCTCGACTTCGTTTCGGGGATTATTCGACGATATTCACCTCGCCTTCGGCGAATAATTGTTAAATATGACCATTACGGTGTCCAACTAGAAAGCTTTTGCCACTTTGGACACCGTGCACCTCTCAAACTTATCTTTATGGCCAAATAATACTTTTATTCTTCTCTCTCTCTCCTATTTTTCATATGAATATTAACTTTCATCAATAGTGTGAAATAAATAAAAGTTCAAAAAGTTCAAAAGTTAGGATATTATGAGATCACTTCCCACTCTGTTTGCCGTGCATTGCTCATAGTTTGAGAATTTGGAGCTGAATCAGTCAATAACCCCTAGAAAACATTTTTCTTTCCTCTCATCAACTTCCTGCTGGAAAATATGCTGATATTGTGAAGAGAAATTCTTTTTTTTTCTCACTTTTTGTGGTGAAAGAGTTCAAGTTGATCCGTGTTTCATATACTGGTTGGACGAAACACCAAAAATAAACACTGACGTAGTATCGATGTCCTTCAGAACGGCTCTGAATATAAACTTGTCTGGAGGTCCTTCGTAATGGTTCTCTAAAACACTCTGCTACTGATCATGAAGTATAACACCATACAATGACAACTGAATTGCTGACAAGGTTATTCCACAAAGAGTGTCACTAGGTCGCATGCGTTATGCGACAACAATAAAAGTTATTACGATCTTCGTTTTACAAGTTCTTGAACACCTTCTGCACAGGTTTTTGTGATCAAAGTCTTTTTAACATATACGATGAGAAAACTTTCATACCCGGCATATAGTAAGGTAGGCTATACTTAATGATAACTCACCTTCATAACCTGTTCTTGATCTAATTGGTGTGCTTTTCTAAGATAAAGAAGACTAGGTACAACTTTTTATGATGTTCAAATAATGTGAGAACTTTCTCTTTTTTTCTCATTAAACTTTTTTCTCATCAAAAAAAAAAATTGGAAAATTGAATGTTTTACGGTATTATAGTTTCTTATTTAGTTTAAAATGTGTCTTAGTATAATCAACAGTTGGCTCGATACTATTTTGTTAAGTACACGACCCCACAAGCTTTTTAGCTTTAATTCTTATCGTGTATAAATAAAGATTCTATTCTATTCTACCTCATTGTCTCGCTGAATTATACTCGTGGTAAAAATTTAACTATAGCATGTGATGGGGAAAGAGTACCGAAAAATCTAACAGTCACAGTTTTACTCGTTTTAATCGTCATGTGTTGAGTGTGGGTAATTCTTAAGACACCTTATCGCGCATATATTTTCCAAAAATCTCCTCGTGATGGCTTGTTTTCGTTTCTTTTGTCATCGCAAAGCCAGTAATTCTCCCTGATATTCCAGTGATAATTGTATCGAACGTAGGCCAAATGATCGACTAGCCTGTTTTTCTGGCGCGTGTGACCCCATTTCCCATCAGACTTGGTTCCCCACTCATGACACATCACAGAAAGGAAAGAACTATCCCCCTCTACTCTCTGGAAAGAGTTGCATGATGAAGGTTGCTTATTCGTCTCACCACTGAAGTACTTGACCACAGCTTCACCAGAGCTGTTAGCGACAGTGGTCACGTGGAACGTGCGTCCCAGTTGTTTGCTGCAGTGAAATCTCAGCTGAGTGAAAGACAAATGCCTTCCCAGCCCCCTCATGGCGGTATCGGAAAGGACCATTTTAGAATTGTTGTAGTCTTGTATTCTAAGGTATGATTCCATAGACGTCATCCTCTGAGGGATGGAATCCTCAGCCACAATGTTTGCGACCAGCAGCCAACCTCCTGAAATCAGGCAAACTTAATTGTGTCATCATTTATCGCCTCAAAGGGATCGGAGGATTTTAGGGGGGAGGGGGGGTGCACATGGTTTCAGGAGGAACGGAGGGAGGATCGCGTAAATTTAAAAAATTGAAAGAAAACGACACAAGGATTACAAAATGCATCCAAACGATTAATTAATAAATAAATTTGAGAAGAACCTGCGAACTCTTCACAACTCGGAAAATCAAGTGTATTTTTCAGGCTTACAGAGTTTTCGAGTTTACAAAAGGATTTAACAACCGTCGGATGGTTGCTTTGAGAGCACGCGAATCTCGCAAATATAAATTCTGGCAGAAATTACCTTTTAAGAAACTTCAAAGTTGTCGTTGTTTTCATCATTATCAAGCTTTCAAAAAATATGTACATTGATGGGATTATCTATGCTTGCTCGTGCATGAAAGCACGAATTCTAAATACTGCTAATCCTCTGATCTATGACACCTTTAACCCTTTAACTGCCGAGTGATCAAGACAGAATTTCTCCTTACAATATCAATACAATATCAAGCGGACAAGTGATGAGAATAAGGAAAAGAGACAATCAGGGGATTATCAGTTGATCCAATATCAAACTCTCCAAACTAACATGATAAGAACTATATGGCAGACAGTAAAGAGAATTGCTAGTGAGATCTTGGGAGGGAAATGGTTAAGTAACTTGAGCTTCTATCACGTGGCTGGGTTCATGCGGGGAGGTGCACAAAGGCTGGAGGTTGCTACACGATTAGTCTATAAATATTTCAAGAATCTTTCATACCTCCATCAGTTGTCATGTCGCAGTAAACTTTTAAAGGGTCTCCGCTTTTCCCGAGGTCGATCCAGTACTCCCCGCTTCCTTTCGATGACCCAATATCCAAGATATGTTTACAAGAATTTCCGGGTTTTTCTTTAACGTGACCGAGGATCGCTAAATGCAACGAATCATAACGGAAATTTATGTGTCAGACGTGAGTTGCGCATAAATTTGATCGGCGTCCTCAAAAACTCTGAAAAGTAATCGCTCAACAATACAAAGTGATGAAAATTATAAATAGTTGGCTTGAACAATAGTGATGAAACCCTTTCACTACCATGGGTGACCAAGACAGAGTTTCTTCTTGCATTATCAATACAATATCAAGCAGACTAGGGATGAGAAAAAAAAATCAATGAGGGGATCATCAGTGGATCCAATCGCAAATTCTCTGATGTAACGTCATCTGAATTGTATGGCAGACAGTAAGAAGAATTTCATATGAGATCTTGCCAGTAAAATAGTTAAATCTTATCAGTTGTCGGCAAAGAAGGCAGAAATTAAGAAAATTGTCACAAAAAGTTTTACAAGTAGAACAGTGTTCCCCTGTGTATCCTGTAGAACATATACAGCGGTATCCTTTATCTCCAAATCCTGTTTGACAGCGGCTATTCCATGAACAAGGATTGCTGGCGCAAAAATTCTGTTGACGCATTAAGAAATTCTATTACAAACTTAATTATTCGTTTCGTACCGGAAGAGGCAAGACACATGAGCGAACGAACGAAAAATGATCATGATACCACTTTACTTATTTTATTTTTTCGTTCAATTTTATTGATTAAGTCTTCTTGTTTTTTAGAAAATTAATGCTACATGTTTTCGTTACGCTTCACGCGTCATTGTGCATAAGCTGTTACTATTCTTTCACCTGTCTAAACTTTCCCACCCAACATTCCACAGTTCTCGCAAGCTACGATTTCCCCGAAAACTAACAGACCGTGAACTGTCCGTAAAGTCGGCTTTTCGTTTCTCGACAAATGCTGTCATCCCTTCCTTTCGATCGTCCTACGAATTGAAAGAAAAAGGAGAAAATTTTCCTTGGGGAAAGATTTAGCGCGTCTTTGCAAATCCAGTGTATTGTTATTTATCACCACGGTAATGATTAAATAAAGAAGTTAAGTTTCTAAAGAAACTGTGGTGCTGCGGCGGTGGGGGGTGGGGAAGGGGTATTACAAGATAATCTGACTTTATCAACTGGGTTGACAAAGTACATTGGCCTCCGTAAAGAGTTTTTAAGGCTAACGTTCCTGGCAATGATATTCACCCTTAGCCGTAAATAGCAAAAATTTTAACCATTAGCCGTAAAAACCATCAACCCATTTCGATGATATCGTTTTCGCACTGATTGTACGTACTTACAGTTTCCATCGCTTGATTCTAACAAACGGAATCCTCAGAATGACGTATGTAGTCCGTAAAGATACGGGANGAACTAAACGGAACTGAAATCTATACTTCTCCCAGACGCAATGTATACTGCGCGGTATCCATACAACACATGAGCGAACGAACGAAAAATGATCATGATACCACTTTACTTATTTTATTTTTTCGTTCAATTTTATTGATTAAGTCTTCTTGTTTTTTAGAAAATTAATGCTACATGTTTTCGTTACGCTTCACGCGTCATTGTGCATAAGCTGTTACTATTCTTTCACCTGTCTAAACTTTCCCACCCAACATTCCACAGTTCTCGCAAGCTACGATTTCCCCGAAAACTAACAGACCGTGAACTGTCCGTAAAGTCGGCTTTTCGTTTCTCGACAAATGCTGTCATCCCTTCCTTTCGATCGTCCTGCGAATTGAAAGAAAAAGGAGAAAATTTTCCTTGGGGAAAGATTTAGCGCGTCTTTGCAAATCCAGTGTATTGTTATTTATCACCACGGTAATGATTAAATAAAGAAGTTAAGTTTCTAAAGAAACTGTGGTGCTGCGGCGGTGGGGGGTGGGGAAGGGGTATTACAAGATAATCTGACTTTATCAACTGGGTTGACAAAGTACATTGGCCTCCGTAAAGAGTTTTTAAGGCTAACGTTCCTGGCAATGATATTCACCCTTAGCCGTAAATAGCAAAAATTTTAACCATTAGCCGTAAAAACCATCAACCCATTTCGATGATATCGTTTTCGCACTGATTGTACGTACTTACAGTTTCCATCGCTTGATTCTAACAAACGGAATCCTCAGAATGACGTATGTAGTCCGTAAAGATACGGGAATATGCCGTCTATATGGAATGTTTTCACCTCAAACGATATCAAGTTTAATCGAAACGATTTATGAGATTATCTTGTTAATAATATTTGTTGGATTTACAGGTGATGTCAACGGATTTCTAAGAAATACAGGAAGTGGTTCCTAGAACATAGGATGTGATTTTGACTGCCAACCTCATCATAACCACTGGTTATCATGAATGATCAGTGATGAGGAAATTCTAACTGTTGAACCGATTAATAACGTCTGTAGAATTGTCTAACGGAAATGAACGCTGCCAATCACTAGTACCTAATCATGCGAATATATGCCGGTGTGAGTCAATCAACACGTCGTATTGTCAACTATGATGTGCAATTTGTGTCATTTATCCCCTGACGTACTTTTGATGGGCCTGCGTGGGTTGTAAGGAAGCTTACGAGTTATCGTCACGGTCTTTCGTACCCGATTATAGCTTCTGTTTTCAAAGCAACGTTTTCGCTTCAACCCTTAAACCTCCATGAGTGACCAAGGCAGAATTTTTCCTTACAATATCAATACGAAATCAAGCAGACAAGTAAAGAGAATAAAGTAAAGATACCAGTTCGGGGATTATTAATTGATCCGATACCAAATTTGGTCAAAACTGTCTGGTAAGAACAGAGCCATAACTTCCTTATCAACATTTAAAGCAAATATTAGGAGGGAGAATCCTGCTACATTAATTACTGATGGCGACTGCATTAACTGTCACCTTTGTAATTATTAATTAACGAGAGCTTTTAAATTTTTAACAATTAAAATAGTTATTTTATTATAATTGTCAAGTACCAATTAATTTTAGTCATAAGTATAGGCAATTTAACTTATTGTAAACATTTCATTGTAACTTATATATTTATACACCCGCTATATATTTATACACCTGTACTAAATATCTCAGTGTGATTTTTAGATTTAAGTGTAATTTTAAGTGTCCCTAATTAGTAGACGACTTGTGGTCAGCTAGAAGATTTGACACGGTAATAAAGTTACTCACTGACTGACTGACTGAAATTCTCCTAGCCAATACAATATTTAAAAGCTCATCACAACAATGTATAACTTAATAACTAAACTTATACCTCTATTATGAATCTTACAAATCTTTCAGTAAAGCTTACAAACTATTGACATTTAAAAATCTAACATCGAATAATAACAACTGTAGAAAAGTTTTAAAATACTAATGCATAAAAGAAGATTACTAAGATAAGTGAAACGATTCCTTGACTGTATAAAAATGTTTTAATTATAGTATTAAAAGATTCTAAGTTCCTTGCTTCCTGTGCAGACCTAGGTAACTTGTTCCAATTAAAAAGGAGGAGCAGCTATCTGAAGTGCTCTGTCACCTATTATTTTCTTTGTTTTCGAAACTGCTCTTTCAAGCAAGGGACCATTGTCATTACGTTTTAAGCTATAGCAAGAAGGCTGTTGAATGCTGATCAGGTCCGAAAGGTACTTAGGCGCATGACCGTCCAAAATTTTATAAGTTATTAAAAGTATCTTATATAATGTATTCTGGCGCGCACTGGTAACCAATGTAATTCCGCAACCAGAGGTGTTATGTGACACTTAATAAGCACTTATAAATTAATGTTGATATTACGATGCTTTTCCTCTGCAATTTGCAGGTATTTGCGGCTATCAATATGGATAAGTATCACAATTTTTTCATGAAGAATACATGAAAAACACATAAAGATCACATGTAAGAGTGGTCGGCTGGGTCTTTCACTTTCAAGGGCAATACTTCAATTTGCGTTCTTAGAAGTGATTGACATTTAATATCAAGAATATCAGGGTGTTATCCAGCANATGAAAGTTATTACGTCATTGTCTTCGTTTTACAAGTTCTTGAACACCTTCCGCAAAGA